GGAGGGGTCACTGCTCATTCCTCTGCACATCCCTCGACCCTTCTCCTCCAGGGCGTCGTAACGTAACGAAACGCGTAACGGAAACGCATAAAGACGCAAATAAAATTGCAACTTTAATGTGCTATTGAAGCGTTATGAAGATATTCAAACGTATTCTCATTTATAATGCTCGCAGAAAGATGAAAACGCTTCAAAAACGCTTTTAAACAGAAATTTTATTTTCGGTTTAGTGCGTTTCCGTTACGCGTTACGTTACGTTACGACGCCCTGATTCTCCTCTCCATCGACCGGCGCGATAGGGCCATAACATCTAATCGCACGCAATGTTAACGCTCTTTACTTGTTATTAAGCCCGGTGTGTGTGAGGAACGGCAATGGCTGCGCCCTCCTACAGCTAAGGTGGGGCATGCTGACACGGAAGTGAGTTGTTGTTGATGAATAAAGTACGCAGAGCTCAAGCGTGAGCAGGATGTCGTCGATGACGACACCTCCAATGGAGAGATAAAATGGTCGAAAAAGAATAGTGAATAATAATAATAGATGTTCTCGCTCTTCGATTGGAGACGTTTTCCGAGAAGAAAAGGGGTAGGTGGGGGGTCAGATCTTCAATATGTTACACACTGTGCATAGTATTCCTAAGGGAGAAAACCGATCGAATCGAATGACCCGCCATCGATCCTTGATACAATCTGCAATGATGCAATACTGTTTGCGCATGCGGCTGAAACTCCTTGAGACCCTCATTACAACTTCGTAGAAACGACACCATGGAGTCTAAATAAAATTGCAACTTTCTCGCGTCGTGAGAACTTAGATGTTTTCAAGTTAGCTCCATGCACCTTTATGCCCGTTGTGCATAATTGCCCGACGGCCTCGGACGACACGAGCCGAAACTCGCCGTTTTCACTCTTTTTCATCGGAAGGGCTGCAATTGCATTTCTGAAAGAAGTTGCAAAACGCCTTAGGCTTTCCCCCGGTCGCATTAGAAGCCTGCATCATGGATTCGCCGCTCGCGGCGCGTGGCGGAGCGTGGCGCAACGTCGCGCAACGCCGCGATGCCAAGTCGGTGACCGGTGAGCGGTGAGCGCCTCGCCAGGCCTCGCCGTGCCGCCTGCCGGGGCCGCGAGGGCCCCGGGGCCGCGGGGACCGTGGGGGCTCTCTGCTCGCCCCCTCGACCTGCCGCGGTGCGCCGCCCCGCGTGGGGCCGAGGGCAAGGCGGAGTAACTGAAGCGGTAGAGCGGTATGAGACGCTATGGTTGGGGTCCGGCGGGGGGCACAAGTGTGCCCGGGAGGGCGCCGTCAAAGATTCCTCCCGAAGACGTTCCAGCAACCGTTGCCCCTGCAGCGCCGTCTCAGCCACAGGTTGGCGGGCGAGCCGCGGCCGCGAGCGGCTACGCAGGACGGGCTGCCGGGGCCGGGGCTTTGGCCGTCCGGTCCGGGCGTGCCCGTAAAAGAGTAGCGCCGGAAGTGGAGCGAGAGCGAGCGGGAGCGCAGCACAGCCCGCCGCGGGTTTGAAATATACAGTAGGAGTGCGCGATGCGGCTCGGGCTCGGGGAGCGGCGACCGGTGCTGCCACATGTGATGACTTTAGTTGAACTTCGACCCCGTCGGCTGAGCCGAGCGGGGCGCGGGCCCCCGAGGCACTCCGCGGGGGGGCGCTGCCGCGGGCATGGCGGCCTCCTCATGGGGCCCCAGAGGCGGCCCTTCCCCCCATGGAGCACAGCTCGGCGGAGCCTGTCTGGGCGGGGCCCCTCTGCGGACTAGGGCTTCGCCAGGGGCTCTCTAGGGGCTCCTCTAGCGGCTCCTCTAGCGGCTCCTCTAGGGGCTCCTCTAGGGGCTCCTCTAGGGGCTCCTCTAGGGCTCCTCTAGGGGCTCCTCTAGGGGCTCCTCTAGGGGCTCCTCTAGGGCTCCTCTAGGGGCTCTCTAGGGGCTCCTCTAGGGGCTCCTCTAGGGGCTACTCCAGGGGCTCCTCTAGGGGCTCCTCCAGGGGCTCCTCTAGGCGCTCCTTCCTCAAGG